GCCGGCTCAACCGATTAGTAGGTTGAAAAATCAGTTGAAGTGTATTATCGAATATATAGGTATACAATTTGATCGATACAAATCAGTAAATCGACGGAGTGCAAACTGATATTGGATTAATTCACATAGTTTTATACAATATTAACAGATCGAGTTTTACATATAGATTGAGGTTCCACTATGTGACTTATAATATAATTAAGTCAAATAACACCAGTTATTATAGAATAATTAAAATGTTATTACTATATATTTATTGTATTATTTATTTTATTTACAGTTTAGCCGGTTCATACAATAGTTCATTGGTTAAAGTGTAGTTAATGATTCAATACTATAACTGAGTTGATAATTTGGCAAGTTTAATGACGTTGGTTAAATCTAAAACTTGGACTAAGTTTGTGTAAGAATATAAACCTTGATCCTCATTTTTTTGTTATTTTGTTTACTACTAAAAGCATTTTTTATGAAAGTTCTCGTTAAATTATATATGAATAAAGCGAGACTAATTATTTCGAGTATAAAGATACAGCTTTTAAGATAATGATGACACTAGTAGATTAATTATACGAGTGATTTATAAATGGTTTAAACGTGAGTAATGCATAATCAATATTATACAAAAGCACATCCACAATTAAATACTCTACATATTTTAATTAGTACAAGAAGTGTGACACATGTAGGTTGCAATTTCATGTCGTGCATGTATGGAGCATTGGGCATTGTGAGTTAAGATATTTTTGTGAGGCTCTAATTATATATTACATCTGATCCAGTTAAAGAGTGGGTTGTTGATGACCTTGGGATGTTAATCCTTAATTTGGACTTTTTTTAGTTTGATAATATTTTAAAGGTGGCCAATTGAGTTAATTTTTTCTTCAAATTCTACAATATTGGAGAAAGTGTAAAAAAGAAAAGTAAAATTACATATTTTTTTTATTTAAATCTTTTATATGCACTCGCTTTTTATCGATTCAAATCCTTTTACGTGAGTAATTAATATGATAATATCAAGTTAAGAAAGAGAAAGATCGACACGACAACAAAACTAATTGTTCTTACATAAACAATAGTGAGTAATGATAAACCTTCCTACAATTGTTTTTGTATATTTTTCCTTTAAAATATGACAACGTAGTTAATATATGTGTGTTTGTTTGTTTTCAATTTGTTCCAAAATGATATGTATTTCTAGATGGATTTAACTACTGAGATTCTATCCAATACACTATAATCCAAATGAATTTGATGAAAGGATACATTTCTTACTTTTATTACAATTGAGCTCCAACATGAAAACAAAACAAAATTTTCCTTCACCCAGAATAATCTTAAAGGATAAAATCATATAAATCTAAATAAACAACTATTGTGAACAATAAATCTCCAATGACCTTCAACTATACAGCAAAGATAGAAATGGACAACCATAACAAAGCGACCAATTGCCATTTGGTCAACAAAAATGCCTAATGAATTAAAAAACTACAAGTCAGCTAGAGCTTTGGAGTATGATTTATTTTATTTTTACGATTCAGTTTAATGTGATATTTAATTCAACTTTTGATAAGGAGTATGTTTTAATTTGTAATGTTTTACTGTGTAGCATTTTAACATCACTTTAATATAAGTTGATTACTCTTGTAAGTACCATTAGACTTTTATATTAATTTTAAATGATTGGTGGAAAAAAAAAGTGAATAAAGTTAGATTTCTAAGGAGAGGCTACAATAATGTAGTCTAATTAAGAGTACGTCGGGAGTAAAACTTTAAGGGGAAAAAGGAAAAATATTTAAATTAATAGAACTATATAATAGTTATAAAAAATAAACAAAGATATTAAATTTGTTTATTTTAAAAATTATCAAACTAGAGAATTTTATTAAAAATAAAACTTTATCCGCTATTTTTTCTCTAAAATTCAAATCTTAAATATGTCATAAATATTACTTTATTTGTTTAAATAAATAATTACGTTCAAAAATTAACAATACCAAATTATCTATCAACGTAAAATATAAAAAAATTAAGTAAAATTTCAAACAAACAAAAATTAGAGAAACATGTTTCTAACCTATAAAAAGAATAATTTATTTTTTATATTAATATTTTTCTTTTATTTCTCGTAACTTAGGTGCATGTGATGAACTTGTTACTGGGAATCGCTGAATTGGTTGTATATTTTCTTTCCATCAACTTTCCGGAAAATTAGCGCAAAAACGACGGCAAAAGAAGAGAATTGGTGAAAGGTGAGGAGCACATGTTGTGTTTTTAACCGTCATAAGTCCCTTCTTCATGCATTTCCATTTCCCATTCCATGTCTTTTACTCCTTTCATGTGTTTTCTGCTCATATACTTTCAACTTTTCTAATCAAACAACAATGATATTCATGTCTACTTAAAAGCGTGCTACACAATTTAATCATTTATTTATCTAAAAAAAGTAAATTCTTGTATAAAAACTTATAAAAAGCCATTAATTATGTTCACAAGTTCTTTATAAGTTTTTCTTTATAATTATTTATCTTTTTACTAAATAATGAATTTCTTCTTAAGTAGTAAGAAAGTGAATATAAAGATAATAAGAGAATATAGATGAATGGTGAAAAGTTAAAAGAACAATTGCAATCAAACAAGGGAGAGATACAAGAAGGTGGAACACGAGAAGAGGCCACTTGACTTTGATGTCATTGATGCTCCCAATGCCTAAGCTAAGCATATTCAGTCGCACTCATTTGTGCCGTAATATGTGCTTTTTGATTTTATTCACTTGGCGATAACTTCTTGTCTTTTGGTTAGCATCATTAGTGTGCCGACATCTTAACATTCCTGTGCCAAGCTCTCACTTTGAAATTGTGCATGTAAAAGAACAGAATTGCTATATGGTACTAACAAATATGGTACCATTGTTTGATCAAGTTACATTATTATCTTTTCTCGATTTAATTAGTCTCTGTTTAAAAATATATTACACACTTTGTAAAAGTAGATCTTAAAAGCTACAATTAATAATCTTAAAACCATCACACTTGGACAGAAATTAGCCTTGGCTTGTTGTATGTGTATGCAGTTTTTGCTATATATTACTGTGAAATTTGGTATGATTGTTTGACAAAGTAATGTGATTTTTTTATTGGGTTAATATGTGTTTAGAAACATGTTGAAAATGTGTAAAAGCAAGAAGTTATAATTAATAACATTAAAATATATATAAATTCATATTCATTCAATTGTGAATGAAAATTACCCTTGGCTTGTTGCATGTAATGCAGTTTTTGTCCATTTGTTTCGTACTATTCACTATTTAGTAACTCGTGAAAGAAATAGTTGTTTCACTTGTTTGTACATTATAAACAACTTTTGCATTGAGCTACAAACATGGAAATTTAAGTAGATATCTTTACTTGTTTGATTTAGAGGCACTACAATCTATATCATTATTATATTTTTTACTTTTTAAAATTTGTCTTACTAATTTATAATTTATCAATGGCCTAAATATCTAATTTGTTTATAGAAGAGGAGAAAAGCTACAAAGCATGTTATGAGAAAAATTTACAAGTCAACTTTTAACATATTTTGCTAAAAGCCTAGATGTGGTAATAGTGTTGATTTTACAACTAGTTAACTATATGAATAACAAATCAGTGAGACAAGTTTAAGAAACATACAGATATGACAGTGATATTCACTGGAGATTGTTCCCACCCCATCACCATCGTCATAAGAGAATAATATTTGATGTAAAGTTCGTGAAAACGCACAAATTTTATTAAAGCTATTAAAAATAAACACCAATCTTACCTACGAAGTCTTTAATACTTAATTCAAAATTTCCCTAATAAGGTATAAAATTAAAACAATAAAAAGGTAGAGTGTTGACTTGTCAAAAGGCTTTATAATTATATTTGCCTTAAAATATAACATATTATTTAACGTTAGTTTATTCTTGTAAGAATTAAGGTAGCTAAGAAATTGTTAATCTCGTAGGACCTTCAACTTAACATCGCTTCGAATTTGTCCACATGACTGCACCACACAAAGCACTAAATATTGTCACGCTACATGAATACTCGAAGGATTAACAAGTATTAAAATATATATATATATATATATATATATATATATATTATTAAATTAATAATGAAAAATAATCAAACCATATTATCTAACAAAAAATCATATGAATGAAATCTCATTGGCTTGATTCTTTAAAATTAGGAGTTCATAACCGAACTATTCTAACACGATATTTTAATAACTTGTGATCATTCTTAATGTTGATATCAACAATATGGTCAAAGAAAATTTAAACCTTAACATCTACGTTCTGAGTGTAAAGTAAAAGAATTTAGTATCAAAATAACCAAGTTTGATTATTTCATTGGAAGAGATTATCTGTCAAACATGATAAATAAAAGTGAATTTAAAGGTATGAAAAGTTAGGGCCAGTTTCATTTTTGGAAATATGTTTTATTTTTATTTTTAATTACAAAATTATTTCCTTGTTTTGATGAAAAAAGTACACAGTTATTACTTAATTCAATGCAATAACTGTACTTTTTTCATAAAAATTTTCTATTTATGAGCTTAAACTCAATCTTAAGGGTTGAGATTAACAATTCTTAAAAATATATACAAAACATTTCCTAAAATCAAATTGCTTCTATTTTTTTTATTTTCTTGTTATATTGATAGTGAAAGTCAAAATTAGTAATTATTAATTGATTGATATTTTATAGATAGAAAGAACGGATTGAATGAATAAAGAGTAAGTTTTAATTTTCTAGAAGAGTCAACATTGTAAGCTTAGAATGCGCATCAAATTACGATACATGAGAAATTTGTATCTTTGAAAATGCCTAACTGATATTTGAAAATGCCGTGACAGAACACAAACCTTATTTCTCAATCTTTCACAAAACTTAAAGAATGTTTGTTTTAGTTTTTGCATACCACAATAAGCCGAATCATTCTGTCTGAGACAAGTTTTTCCAAAGGAAATATTTTGGGCGTTCAGGAAATAGCGTTTGAAACGAACATGCCCTTTTAAGCATTTATATTGGCCTGTTGTTTGAACGCATGTTTGTGAATAATTTAAACAATTTTTCATACTTAACAAAATCAATATCTGCTTGGACAATGGACATTACATAAAAAGAGAACAAAGCAGTATAATAACATAACATTCATTCCAACTTCATATTAAACTTGCTTTTATCAGGGGAAGCATTTCATCCTCTGCAAAGTGGCACGTGAAAGCTATGTTAACAAGTAGAAACATCAACATCATGGTATTAACTTAAGAATATGTCTTGAATCTGATGAAACTCCCTCCATTTCATTTAGATTTCACTCACAGTACTTATGCATGCATCTCTAAAAATAACTAATTTCACTAGCTATTATGATAAAATAAATTGATTTTTACTAAAAAATTTTATTAGAAGTGTTATAAGTTATTGCAATGATTAATTAGTAAGAACTACTCCTAAAGTAATATTGGAGTGATTGCAATGGTTTGTTGATAAGAATTACTCCCAAATCCTAATAAATTAAGTAATTAATGCTTTCTTAGTATTATTCTAAGGTGACAAATAATTTGAGAAAAATAAAAAAATGCTAAAGTAATTTGAGACAGAGGGAGTATGATCAATTACCTGTCTTTCAACTTCAACAGCTGATGCAGCTAGCCTGCGCTTCAAAATTGATCTGTCTTCCTCACAATTTTCAGTTTCCGTGTCTAACAGCAAATGCAGGCAGCAAGACTCAGGGAAAGAGAATCCAACACATAGATATTGAAGTTTTGATACAAACAAACAAACTATTAAAAGGGACTAGACATAATGAACTTGGCATTGCATTCATTCCATCTAAAATCTATAATTTGTGCCTTTGTAGAAATCTTGAATAACACATCACAAAGGCTCAAAAAATTCTAGTGCTGTTACACATTTCAAAATTTTGATATAACAAGCATCCAAGGCCTCTCAATGTTGTTAAATTAATTTTGAAAAATTGTGTTTAAAATAAATTGATTTATATCTAAAAAACTTGTCTCAACAAAATTTAATATCATTTAAATTTGCAATACTTTACATTTAAGAAAAATTATTTTTAAAATGAAATTATTTGATTGAAAACTACTACACATAAAATTTTCAAACAAAATCCAAAATCTTTGATCTGGCTAAGTATCGTTTGAAGACATCAAACATTTCAAATATATCACCAAACAAACGTAAACTGCATACATGCAGCGTCGAATTGCTTGGTTGTGCAAAATCCCATTGATTTCTCAAGTTAGGCCATTTGGCATTGGGGAAGGCAATTTTCATCAAAGCGTTGGTTTCAGGTTTTGAGAAACTGTGGCAGTTGGCAGAGAAGATAAGCAATGTAATGATGATGTTATTAGTGAATATCTTTCACATGTAATACACATTGCTCCAAAAAGTTAGCATGTTTAGACTCAAATTTGGTTTCTATATTTAATTCTTTTGGATATCAGTCCCTTGGTTTCAATTTGCTGGATTTTGGTTCCTGCCATTAGGTTTTAGTCCCAATAGTTTATATTCATTAAGGTATCGGTACCTAATTTTCATAAACGTTCAGGTCCTTATAGGTTCAAATTTGAGGGACCAAAATCTAAATGAGTGAAACTGTAGGGCTGATATTAAAAACAAACCAACTATTGGAACAAAAATCCAAATTAGATGAAACCATAGGGACTATTTGTTTCTTTAAACCTATAGGCAACAAAATAAATTATTCAAATTAAACTTAAAATTGAAAGATTCTTACCATAGTAATATGATGAAAGGATAGTGATGCGTTCTGTTGGCTGGAAAAGGAAAAACAAGTGCAAAGGAAGAAGTAATCATGTTGAGTAACTTTAAACTTTGCACCAAAAACTTAAACAAAAGTAGAAAGCCAGCTGAACAAAGAAGATACAATTTAGCCAATTTATCATCAGTCCAAATAATAGATAACAACAACCAGAGAGACCGCGGTAAGGTTAAATAATTAAGTTACAAACCATTTTAATGCTGACTTCAACATTCACTAATAAGCCTAAAAGGTAAAAGGCTCCTCCAAAGTTTGTTTGTTTGTAAAGTGAGTGAGTTTCATCATGTATTTTAAATTAAATTAATTTTCAATAACCCCTTACTTTCCACTTTACAACAAACTCACTTTACAGGACACATATCCCATAAAATGAATTAGAAATACCAATTTACAGTTATTCACTTCACCCTTAGACAAAAACAAACCATTTTGTCATTTGAACATGATTTTCTGAAACTTCCCATCTTCCAACCCCCCCCCCCTGCCACACTCAAATTAAACAATAAAAGCTTTCAGGTGAATAATTTTAAGCTACAATATTACTATATAGAATCTCTTTCCCATATACATACATACTATGCATTAAAGTTTTGAGAATCACCCAGAGTCCCCACCAACCCAACTTCCTTTACTCTTCACCCACAGTCTCTCTACCTTTGCCCCTGGCTTCTCAAAGTAAACAAATAAAACAATAGTTGCAAGGGAAAATCTATAAATTTCTAACAAATGTATGTTTATGTATATGATCCAGGATTGAACAATAATTGATAGGAGAAAAGAACAATGCACAAGATGGAAAGATTTTTTACTATACCATTACAAATATACCCTCTTTACGAGTAGGTAGTTGCTCCAGCTTAGTCAATGTATCATCACCTTTAGTAACTCTTCCAAATATTGCATACTGAAAAGGGCACATCAGTATATGAATTGCAAACATCAAAAGACATATGACTGATATGAGTGAATCCTTTGCAATGATGTTTGGCAATTATTGTTACCCAACCTGGCCATCAAGATGAGGAGCATTTCCAAGTAGTATTGAAAATGATGATGAAGCACTGTCTGGATCATCATACCTATAAGAACAAATTTGCATATACATCAGGGCTTCAGTCATCAAATTCTAAATAAGTGTTTTCGATATGTTTTACTTGAATGCATCAAAGGAACTAAGATTCCAAACACTTGAATTTTGTTATCTTATTAGCCACTTTCAACCCATTTTAGTCTTCTCCATCAGGAACACAAAGCAATATCTGACAAAATCGACACCAGACAACCCCTTAGAAACACAAAGTCTGCTCTCCTCTAAAGTCAAGTGATTCATCTGGACAATAGGATTAATACTAATGATACATTGCAGATTAATACACCTAACAAGGCTTTGTCTATAGCTATGTACGTGATGTGCCACTCTAATTCAGAAAAGTTCCACGGTTAAATGGCAAAGCTTTGGAAATCAATGGCTCTCCCAATTCTGCAACGCAGCTACAGCAATTTTTTTTTTCAAATCCCAACATATGAACATACATACTGTGGATGAAAACTGGATGTAGACTGCATGGCCATAAATTGGTACAAAGACCATGGACAAAGACTCACTGCATGGCCATAAACATGGTAGGAAGAATGATTCTTGGGCATTCCAGTGCTACCACAAAGAGATGCCATTTAGAAGGGTATACGATTGAGTTCAATGAGGCTCAAATCACAGACAACAGCAAAAGGAAAAAAGAATATTGCAGAACATAAAAAGAGAACAAAGCAGTATAATTACTTTCAAAATTTGAACAATACCAAATTATATATCAATGTAAAATATATCAAGTTTAAATAAAATTTCAAAAATGTCTTTATAAGAGAAAAAAATTATATAAAAAATAAATAATTTTGTAAAAATTAAATGAGGAAACTTCTAAAAAAAATTTGAGAAACATTTTCTATCTTATAAAAAAAAGTATTTATTTTTTATATTAATATTTTTCTTTTATATATAAAAACTTATTTCTCATAACTTAGGTGCATGTGATGAACTTGTTACTGGGAATTGCTGAATTAGTTGTATGTTTTCTTTCCATCTACTTTCCGGAAAATTAGCGCAAAAATGATGGCAAAAGAAGAGAATTGTTAAAAGGTGAGGAGCATGTTTCAAGTACTGGTCAGATTTCTTCACAAATGGGGGTGCTATATCTCTCTAGTAGCTCCAAGTAGAGAAGGGCAGAGATAGGTTCTTGCAAAAGACCCTCCAATGCTCGAGTCAGCTGAGCTGATATTCTGGCAACATAACAATAGGAAAAAGAAAGCACAGTTTGATCAGACTGAGCATGAGGTATGTGTAGAGATGGGGTGTGAGTCATTGAGTCACACTGTGACAGGAGCCAACATTCGCACTCACCCTAACTTTCTCCATGAGATGCAAAGGCCTCTTACACCCAGGGAATATGACTTTATGTAACAAAAAACAATGACACCATATCAGAATTAAGGAACTAATTGCTAAAAACTACATTGATAATGAACCTAGAAGACTTCGTAATCACCAGTAAGCTGAGTTTCAATCGGTTCAATTTAAAGTTCAGCATAGGAAATAGCATTCGAACTAATAATTAATATGTTGTAAAACCATATATAAATGCAGCTCAATGACAGAAACATGAGAGCAAGAATGACATGAAATCAATAACTGCAACAGAAATAAGGAGGCTATAACCAATAGTTTCTGTCTAGAGAGACCTAACCTTCCCATGGAAAGAATACCGCGAACATGTTTGACTTCGCTAAATTCACCAACAACAGTCTTTTCAGCCTCTCTTCTTTGTTCCTCGTTCATGGGAGCAGATCTTCCGTTCGTAATATCTGCTACTTGGGCTACAAATCCCCTGTCAACCTAGCCATTGAATTCAAAACCATTCACTTACAAAGGAATACCACACAGACCAATCTCAAAAATACCAAATGCTCACTAGCTTTGTTTCCAGAGAACAATACCCGAAAGAAATGATTAGTGTTATAGCCTCCAAGTCGCACAAGTTTAAAAATGTGGTCAACTGTTTTGGGTGCAACAGTTGGAAAGAAACCAAACTCAATATCCCCATAATTTGTCTGCATCAAACAGCACAACCACCAAAGTGATACATTACACCATGGGAAACAAACAAACAACAACAATAACAAATTGACACCAATGTGAAAGAAGTTATCAAAAGCAAGCACAGTTCCTAAGCAAGATGGAATTTTTACCAAAAAAAACCACTTGAGTCTAATTTTCATTCATATCCAGTACATAACTGACGGATATCTTCTCAATCAACAACATGGGTATCCCCAGTTTGAGCTTCCCAATCATCAAGAATTTAACAGAGCACATATTCATACAGAGACTACAATCATGAAAGCACTCAGCATGAATGAAACTCAGCTCAAGCTTTTAACTTTTACTAAAAATCCGAGCAATCATAAATGTTAAAGAAAAAATTCATACAAATTTTAATATTGAAAACCTGAAAGACGACGCGGGTCGATCCCAGTTCTTCCAGACCAGAAATTATAGATATCAAGGCCAACAAAGTGCAACCTTTGATCCAAACATTGAATCCTCGGTTCCACATTTTAACCACGGATAGATTCAGCTCTTTTTTTCACCTCCTAAAATTAGAGTCAACCATCGGAAATTCAGAAAATCATTTTTCCCTGATGACTTGCTTAATATCTTTTCCACTTGTTCATTTTTCATGGATTCATTCTTTCTTTTTGTCAACATCAGCATTTTCTTTCTAATTTCCAATACAAAGTGGTGCAAACAATTTTCAGGCCCAATAATGTAATAAATTTGATTTGCATGGACTAATGAAAATGAAGCCTAAATAATTTAAATCTCTCACTAAGCCCAACTAAATAGGGCCCAAATTAAAATTGAGCTGCCTTTATGCAAATTCATTGGCATAAATAAGTGATTTTTTTATTGATGTATGGACTTGGTTTATTTGTATGCTTTAGGCCACTGGGTTTAGGCCCGTTTGGTCTCGCCCGTTTCCTGTAGGATGTTTGATTTCTTGACCCAATAAAAAAAAAATTTCTCACAGCAAGGTCTTAAAATGAAATTTTGATTTTTTAAGCGATATGCATATTATTTGAAGTACATTTTATAACTGAAAGAACATTATGTTCACAAAGTAATGGTAAACTAAATTAAATATTTGCTTGCAAGTTTTGATATATTTTAGTATGGTTTAGTAAAAAAAAAAAATCAATGTTTTATGGATACTCATTGATTTGATTTTATTTTAAAGTTTTCCTTTAATGTCTGCGTAAAATTATACTGGAGAAAACCTATCCGTACAAAGTTGGAGGATAAACCCACCTTGTGTTCACTAACAAGTGATTATTATAAAGTAGACTTTGAAAGGCAGAAAAGCAAGTAATAGGTACTTGACCCTTAACATATAGGCCTAGACTAAATTTTGGGCACATGCTAATGTTTAGGTTCAACGTTTCCACTTAGAAATGATAGTAATGGGAGGATTGGTTTCCTTTTTTTTACTTTTTACCATAAAGCGCTCTGTAAAACACATTGCAGAAATTACTCAAAATCCCATTAGTATCAAATTGTCAATCATTGTTATTGGACTGTTCACTAAGCACAGGAGAAGACTATAACACAGTACCCCCCCCCCCCCCCTCTCCCCTTCGAAGCTCTAGACAAAAACGTTTTTAGAATATGCCAATTCAAGTGGGCAAATTGAAACCCAAGCAAAAATCCTTGCAAGTAGGTATAGAATTTCTTCTATCAAGAAAAGGGGGGGCATATGTGCCAAGTTTTAAAAGAGTGTGCTTGTGATCACATTTTGGCCATGAATGCCACTCAATGAAAACTTTATTCTTTAATAAGATTTTGGCATTTAGCACCTTTCTCAATCAATTGTAATTGCAACGTATGTTTTCCATCAAAAACAATTCTATTCTTCTTTAAGCAGAACCTGAACCTGATTCCAACTCACGCTATTATTGTGGCCCAAAAGCCCAGCCCCATTCGGTAAACTTCTAAGTGTCTTCCTTCAATGTATGTTTTTTCTTGGTATCATTGTTCGTTGTCACATGGAAGCCTTACTACAACTTTACCTCTAAATTCCCGCAACTTAAAGCAAGTTTGAGTCTATTAATCTTCGAATAAAATATACTTTTCATGATTGGACATCCAGAATTTTCTTTATTTTATGCATTGATATTGAAATGTACTTTAAAATTATTATTTAATTGTAATAATTAAAAACTCAATATAAATGTACTTTAAATTAAATTAATAAAATTGAGCCTTTTATACCATTAGAATACTAAAAATAAAATAAAATAATTGAGTCGATTTTTTTTATCCGTATCACATATATTTTTATAGACTATCTTGTTTAAGTAAAGTAAAATCACACAAGTGACAACTATTTTTCGGACTATTTGCACAATTGCATACTTAAGACTCAAATCTAAAACTATTAATCAAGTGAAAACAATATCACTCAAATTAATCAACATATTATGTAATTAAGAAAGAATTTTTGAAAATACACCAAGTCTACGTGAAAAAGTATATTACAAAAAAGAAAAAAAAAGATGCACAAATTGACTTAATTTCTTTTAATAATTTATACGTCAAAGTATTAGACGTGCTATAAGGAGTCAATACATACATTGATTAAGAACGTATGTTGATAAATGGCAATAATTATGATTAATTGTATTAAGAATTAATTGCGGGGGTAACATTTTCTCTATTTCGTCTACAAGTTATATTCAAAATGGTAGGAAAATCAGAAGGACTTTTCCTTTTGTTTTGAAGGATGGCGTAACCAAAACTAAAGAGTACATGTTACCCTATATTTTTCTTTGCAAGTATAGATGATGATTATGGATGGTTGCTTGCTTATATGTGTTCTCATATTGTCTATAGATGATGCATGATTTAACATGCTATAGACTTTGACCTATATAAAGCTAAAACTGAATGACCACAAAGAAGTTAAAGCTCATCCAAAATCCAATTGGGGTGTGAAGGGGTAGCAACAATTAAAAGAAAGGGAGGTTCTTATAAGTCACCCGAACCCATGATGGGTACCACTTAGAACTTCGAAGCAAAAGTTAACAAAAAAATTATGAGGGGTGAAGGATAATTGAACCACTGCCATTTCAAAATCATTTTCTTACTATTGCACCGTTAAACCCAATATTTTCATTCTCCAATCAAATCTAAAGATTAAACCAATAACAATAATAATTAATTGTGGCGATTGCCGACCATTGATTCTAGAAGGGAAGAAAATTTGGAAAAATAACGATAAGAGATTATCCAAAAGTTAGAAAAGTAAAAGAATTTCAACAATCCACATGAACACATCTATCTTCACACACGTAGCCTCACCCACAACTCCTTCTAAAACCCCCCCAACGAAACACATTCTAAATCGGAAAACGACCTTCCATTTTTATTTAAATGTTTCTTTGTGAAGCACATTAAGAATAGGCTATCATCCACGCAACTCATGATCAGCTTTCTTTTTGGAACAAAATAGACATCATTATCCAATATAATGAATCACAATTTGGACTTATGCTGGTTTGTACGAAATTCTGTTCACCATGATTCAACTATCCTTAAAACTCATGCAGTTAACATTTCTGCTACTTTTTTGAAAAGGCAAAACGAAAATACCCTTGTTGACACAAAGGATCTAAAGAGCAATCTAGTGTGAATTTTGGTTAACCTGAAATGAAAAGTGTGGATTGGGTTGTTGTTATGTTGAGGGCTAAGGTAAAATGTGAAAATGTGAGCTCGGTAGAAGGCATGTGGTGAAGCAGAAAATGGGAGGGTGATGTTTAATAGTGTTAGGCATAGAATAGTGACAGAGATAGAGCACTAATTAGTTGTCGGGGTACAGTTTTAGAAAGAGTGGCATAATTGTGCGTGTAACACTTGCAACTACCCTCAACTTGCAACCTCAATTCGCACGCAACCCTGGCCCTCTCTACCTTGTTCATTCTTGGCAATTTTTTTAGATCTTGCTTCCTACTTCATTCTTCATTGTCATTCTGTGAAAACTTGTTCTTATTAATTATCAAAATGGGCACAAATGCCTTCTCTTTAATACTATTTCTCATAATATGTTTAAATTAGGTCTACTTGTTGAAAATATTTTATTTTTTTTAAAATTCTATTTTTATTTTTTTGTTAATCACATAAAATAACTTCTTACTGATTAAATCCACATGTTTTGTGATTACTATGGTTTTTATTTTTAAAAACTACATTGTTATTATTATTTTAAAATATTCTTTAATTAAAGTAGAAACTTAAAAACACAAATAAATGGGCATGAAATCATTAGAACAACTTTTATAATTCTTGGTTAGATTTATTAATTTTTTCTCTTTTTTTTTCATCAGGTTTTTAACCATGCTTTCTTCTGATTTTCTTCTAACATGGTCAATAAGATTTTTCCTACCTGAAGTTTCTTAAATTTTTGAAAACTTCCTCAACTTCTTTTTAATTATTATTTCTAGATATGGATAAGAGGGCAATCAGTTAAACTATCTAGCTCTATATATTAAATATGAGTATTTATTATTAAAGGAAAGTAGTTTTAAGAGTTATTTTAATTGAGAATATTTTTAATTTTTTTATCATATCCCTTTGACTTTTTATGCATTAATATTTAATTTTTTTAATTCAATGTTAATTAAAATTTTCATAATTTTTTAATTTAGTCTTATTTAATATGATAAAATATTTATTGATAGTAAAAAAACTAAAAATAACTATACAATATATTTTTTTATTTAATAATACTCAGTGTATAAAATATCAATAACGTATAATAAAATGTTTATTTAAGATTTGAAATCGACATTCAGGTTGTCCATTTTAACCAAGCCACCAATTTTCTTAGGTCCAATCAATTATAACAAATTTATCTGTGATACCTCAGCTAATTAAAGAGCTCGAATTATTAGGCCCCTTGAGATTTTCATATGATATATTTTTTATCCACATAAAAAACAAAATTATCAATAAAAAATGAATGGAATAAAAAGAAAAAAAAAAACGTAGTGACGGCCATGCATGTATATTCATCTCTCTCTTTACCTATCGATAAAGACATACACACATGTCCATATACAAAATCGTCCTTTTAGAAAAGATAATTAAAAATAAATAAAACTATCATATAGAAGAAAATTTTAAAAAATATATGTTTTAAATTTTATCCCGAAATATATATAATATTAATGAATTATATGACATATAATATCACGCAAATAAAAGAGAGGGCCGTCACTCACTTTCTCAAATTTCTCAATTACTCCACGCATCAATGAAAAGGCATATGTGCGAACTTTAACGGATACAAACAATTTCTCATTTAATTATCTTTCGTTTTCTTTTTCTTTTTCTTTTCCTTGAGTGAATCAATCACGCCATATATATAACTTATGAGAATGTAACTGAAAAATCTCTAAGCACAATCAAAAAAGTGATTTTCATAAAAGAGTGGCAGAATAATACAATTCATTCCTCAATTGCCTTCTATCTCATCAGCTACCCTAATTGAATAAAATTCAATGCCAGCGCCCTGTGTAATTCACCAAAGATTCTCCATTAAAATAGATAATATTACCAAGCATGATTAAGGGAGGTGGGTGCTGACCCGTTTATTTTTTATTTATTTAGGGTTAAAGAGAAGATTCTCAATGGAATCAAAACCAACTTTAA